ATATAGAAGTTAAACCATATAGGTGCAACCAATATGAGGGGGAAAAACATGGAAGAACTTTGTCTTGCGTCTTCCTACAGTGATGCATGTTACACTTCAAGCCATTAATACATTAGCTACAGGGGCTTTTAGCAATGACATTATTAGACTTAATTCAATGACAACTATAATACATTTGAAGATTTACAACCAAATTCCATTAGGTCACGTGTCACATGTAAAATAAGATGCCTTATCCACAACACTTTAAGCTCTGCTTATTGTATCTCAAGTTTTGCCAATTGAAGTTGAAAACTATGCAACTTTGCATTAGAAAAATGTGTGACCAATTTGTTAGTAATAAATTATATTTTAAAAAAACTCAAAAGCATTGTTAAGCACCAGATCAAGTTTAACTCAAGCTTCTTACTATTCTCTACAACAAAAAATTTAAAAATAAAATATAAAAGAAAAGAGCACACTCCAATAGAGAGATTACAGCAAACCAAATTGTCATGAACTTACGTATGCGCTCTCTCTAGACCCTTTTGGTGGATATATGTCTTGTACCCATACAGTAACTGAAGAGCACATCAAAAGACAAAAATATTGAACAAGAACAGTAACTAAAGATCAAATGAATGGCTAGACATCTCATAAGACAACTCACCCATCTTGGTCCCAAGATCGAATTATAAGAAACCGTCGGCGACTTTGAATCTACATGAAATAGTATTATTATAAGTATGTGAATGGATCATTAAAAAAAAACATCATAACTTCAAACAAAATGCATTCTGACATGGAAATATTTATCATAGGTAAACCTATTAGTTAATTTGCAACCTCGGGTGTATAAATAAAGACAAAAAATAAAGGATAATTCATTAAATGAAAAGTATATCAGTTTTAGCATTCATAATGCATTAAAACAATGTAAATAGAGAGCAAAAGTACATATTGAAGTAAAAGACACTAGTATCTAACCTCTAAATAGAAACGTCCATCTGGAACCTACATAAATAATAAATATTTTCTTTAAAAGGAGGAAGCATGGTAGTGGAGTTTACAAATGACATTCTGCATACTAGAAAATTAAGAAGGAAAGGAGAGGATGAAAGACCTACTTGATAATTTCCACTTCACAAGAAAAATCAGCTATTGAACCTGTTGAAGAATCAATGAAAACCTACAAAATTAAAAAACAAGCCACAATCAGTGAAACTTATACTTAAGAAAGTTAAGAAAAGGACCAGTGACACTAATCTACCATTCCCATCCGACGGTTGCCTTCCATTATCCTCCTTACCCGTTGTTTAAAGGACAAGGTACAAGCAAAAATCTATGAATATTCAATAAAAACAACAAAACACATGGACTGTAGAAAAGTATCAAGTAGGCATACAAAACTTGCCAGATAAGTTTGTCAACATAGTTATTTTGCAGCAAATGTACTTCTACGTTTAAATATTTTATGAATGTCATATGTGAAAAATATAAACTGCTGACCAACTTACCATAAGTCTACTCCCATCTTTCTTGTAGAATATGAGCAACTGTTGATTACAAAGAGAGAAAAGCATGTAATCTGATTCACATATTTCTTTCTTTCCATTTTTTATTCTATATAGTCATCCATGATTGATATTGGAAAATCAACATATCTCTTTGTTTTCCCATTATAATATTCTGTACCCTACAAGAGAATCAACACTTAGGTAAAATTGTCATGAAGAACAGATGCTGTAATATACTCCTGCTAGAAACCTTTGTAAATATAGGAACCAAATGAAAAAGATACCGCACAAATTTTGCCTTACCTTAATAATGACCAGATGATGACCTGGAAGGTTTACATCCCATGCCAATGTGCTGGTACAAACCAATACCTATAATTTAATACATATGCCTAATCAGTATATAGTGTAAGAAAATGATCTTTTTTATATTCTCTTTTCCTAATGTGTTTTTCAGGAAAGACTCATGCTTACTGAGGTAAAACAGAAATGCCTGAATCTTGTTCTTTGCAAAAAGCTCCTCAACCAGAGATCTATCTTTGTCATTCAGACCGGCATGGTGTAATCTAATGCCAAACTGCAAGGTGTGCCTCAGGTTAAAGAACCATATGCTGGCCTTCTTCTGGCATACCAAGAAACTGCCTTGGATGTTCATTTGACGTTGCGAACTTCAATAACAGAAAAGCACAAAAAAAAAAAATCGATTCAATGCACCAGTCGAAACCGAAGAAAAAAAATCAAAGCTTGAATTGAGAGAGAGAGACTCAAGATCGAATATTTGAATTTTGAAGATTGGACTGCGAGTGCAAGCTTCGTGTTCGTTTCTATATCTCTTCATTTCACTCGTGCACCATATTCCTCTGCAAGTGCAAGCTTTGTCTGCCTTCATTTGGGAAAAAAAAGGACACGGCCTGCCCTGGCGCCCAGACCAGCCCAAGCCGCCTCGGTACCGCCTAACTCCCTGGTGTCGGTGTCCTCCCGCCTAGCTTCTAGGCTGATTTTTCGAGCACTGCTCGAAACATGGAACAGGCTTGCTCTGTGCCCTAGACGTTCGTAGTGATGAGTTTGAGTCTGATTCACTAGAATATTGTACATTTATAAACTATCATGCTTAAAGGTGTTTAGCGCTTGAATTTAAGGAAAAAAAACACAAACCTAGCTAGCTAGCTAAATAGAGGTAATCATTTTCCCTTAAAGCAGAATAATAAGCAGGACTGGTCGAGTGGTATTTCTCCAACAACCCATTAGGATTTAGGAGCAGAACCATCTAAAGCTGAATCTCGTCTTGTGGCGGTAGCCGGCCCAAACCAAAAGAAAGGAGCAAAAACGTCTCTATATGTCTCTGGTGTTGCTCTTTAAACGTCAAACATAATTCCAGTAAACAAATTACTCAATTTCTTCATGGTTTCCCGACATTTTCCCAACAACCAAACAAGAGAAACCACAGCAAACGCACTCACCGAAATGAGTCATCCGCGAAATGGCTATGACTGCGAGTGCAAGCTTCGTGTTCCTTTCGAATATATTTAAAAAGTAAGCCCACCGAAATGTAGTCTTCCGCGAAATGGCTATGACTGTGACTCCGGGGGCGGAGCTAGGATTTTATATTTGAGGGGGCCAAAACGTTAAACACAAAAAGTTTAGTTGTATATTTTTTTTGGCCTATTGAGTAAACTATTGCCTACAAAAGCACTAAATTGAAATGAGTGGTTTTCTTTCATAAATGTAGTATGATTTTACTATTATATTCATATTGAAATACAATTTTGATAAGTATTGATTTGTGATGAGGGGCCATAGGCTTAAGTATAGCAATTTTTCTTTGCATTTGTTACCACATCCAATATATACATTCAAAGGGGTAAAATACATTGGGGGGCCAAGACCACCCCTGGCCTTAACACAGCTTCGCCCCTGACTGCGAGTGCAAGCTTCGCGTCATATTAAATAGTATAGCCGCGCGGTTATACTATTTTTAATTATTATTTTATTTTTAAAGCGTATAGCCATGCGGATATACTGGTTTCATTATTTTTATGATACAGCCGCGCGGCTATACTATTTTTAATTTTATTTTAACGAGTATAGCTGCGCGGCTATACAGTTTTTAATATTTAATTTTTAAAATGGTCCCTGTGTTATAGTCATTTGGCCAATTTAGTCCATGTGGTGTACTTGCAATTTTTATAAGTAAAAAAAAAATTATTCAGTTCAATTAACAAAATAAAAAAAATATGAATAAAAAAAAAACTCTGGAAACCTAACGACCTTTATGCCCTTCTTCTCTCATGCCGCCACCACCACCACACCCACCAACGTAACCCCCATGAGCAGTCCCAACCACCACCCTATTCTCTCTCTCTCTCTCTCTCTCTCTCTCACCCACCCCCACAGAATTTGTAATGCGCTTGAATGAATTCAGCGCTGATGGCTGCTTAAGCTGCATCATCATAGAAAGCACAAGACGAATTAAGTTCAAAGTCATACAAGAACAAACGGATATAAACTGTAAAGTTATTAAAAGAGAATCAAATATACCATCCAAAGCAGTAAGCATTATCAACATCATCTCAAGCAACCTCAACATTGAAATCCTTATTGAGCTTCTTCCAGGGAGGTGAAGATGATTTCATGGCATCAAGCCAACCGTTGGACTAACATCATCGAGCTTTCCTTGCTTTTTCCTGGGGATGTAACTGTACTTACTTGCCAAATGAGAATGATGCTCCTTGCGGTGAGTATGGCAACAAACTAGAATGGAGGCCTAGTCTTGATTTAGTTCTCGGTGGGCGGCATGAGAGAAGGGCATAGAGGCTGTTGGGTTTCCAGATTTTTTATTATGTAATTATATTTAATTTTGTTATTTGTGTTCATAATTTTTTATTTATCTGTAAACTGAACTCATTAATTTTTTTAATTAATTTTTAAAGCTTTAATGAATGTTTTAAGTTAATTTGACGGAATAGACAACATTGACTAACGGAATAGAACACAGGAATTAAATTGGCCAAATGAGTACAACACAACATTTTAGCATTTAAGCCTATAAAGAAAGAACCGCCTATTGAATAGGCGCTACGTGTCAAAAGCAGCACAGCCGCCCGGCTATACTATTTTTTTTTAAAATTAGTGAAACACGAGTATAGCCTAGCGGCAATACTACAAATAAAATTAGAAAAAACCAAGTATATATAGCTGTGTGGATGTACTATTTTTAAAATAAATTAGGAAAAAACCGAGTATGGCCGAGAAAAAAACGAGTATATATATCTGCGTGGATGTACTATTTTTAACATAAATTAAGAAAAAAACGAGTACAGCCGCGCGGCCATACTCTATAAATAGAATATTTTAAAAGGGAGTATAGCCGCGCGGTTATACTCCATAAAAAGAATATTTTAACAGTATCGCCGCTCGGCTATAAGCTATAAATAGAATATTTAAACGTATTGCCGCGCGGCTATACTCCATAAACAGTATCTCGCAAGAGATTTTTTAAAAAGTATAGCCGCCCGGCTATTCCGTTCTTTAAGTGAAACAATTCCAGAGCCTTCCTTGATATGTAGCTGAAGCGATGAATGTCCAGATCAATCTCAAAGTAGTTAGGACCCTGCACGTGAGAGAGCTTGATAAAGTCAAACAACATGGTTTTTATGTTTCATCATCTTAACACTCAGCAACATAAATGTTCAATGTTTACCTTGTAAAAGCTTCTTCTCAGCAGAACTCCGACCGAGATCCCTAGGATTTACCACCCCAGCCAAGATCTTTAGTCTTTCTCTAAATGGTACAGTGGAGTCCTTTGCCAATCCTTTAACTTTTTCAGTCTCATCGTCAACCATTTTCTAAAAGCATCATTCAAATATATCAAAAGACTGAGTGTTCCAATAGAACATAAGATCACATTTCCATCAGGGAGAGTACATCAGAATAAAGTACATGCCTATCCAAATGGTGAAGTTGCATACAAAATGAAGTTACCTTGATGCTGTCTTGGAATTGAGGAGAGATGTCTTTATCAAAATTCTCAGAAACTTTGAAATACATTACATGACTCATCCCCTCTCCATCACTATCACCAAGAAACATTGTAGCAGGATAAGTAGGCAACTGCAACAAGGCGCAGAGCAATATCATTAGATATTGCCAAAATATAACAAACAAAACATAACAAGATAAATTAATTCTGAAAAAATACCTGTATGTTTACAATGAACACTTTCCCATTTGCTTTCACTTTGGGAAGCTCAGGATGCTGGGCAATGTGATGTATCTTTTTGGGGCATACAAACACATCAACACCTATTGGAGTATATGGACTGTAGTTCGGAGCAGTTGACTTTAGCAAGGCAGAACAGAGTAATTAGTTGCAAATGTCTAAATTCAGTTAAGGTTGGTTTTGACAAAAGAAAAAACCAAAGTCATACTTGAAATAGTTCTCACCACGGAATTTAAAAGTTGAGGGTGGAATCTCAGACCAAGATCTTGAAGTCGGCTTCTCTACTCTACAACATGGAATGACATATCCTGGTCTAGCCCGATACAAAAACCTTTTTGATTGACCTGTGGATATATCATTGAAATGTTCAGTAATATACAAGTACATCAATCCCAATATTCTAAGTTTTCTTTCTATTCAAAGAAAATTGAATTATTTGAATACTTACATTGTTCAATGGTTTCTTCTGCATCAGAGGATCTCCTTTTAAAAGAAAGTCTGAAAACGGCTGATGGCTTTCTCTGGGACTGCGGAACCAAACTCTGTTCGAATCTTATCATTGAAACTTACAGAAGGTACCAATCGAGCTAAGCCGGATTTTAGGTCTTTGTCTTGAATTTTTTCATTAGAATCACGTCCATCCTCTATAAGTCCTTCAAAGCTTCCATAAGAGTGATCTAATATATTCTTCCTCTTACTGCAAACTTCATCAGCCTTCCCTAAGCGAGAAAGTACATAGCCCTGGGTACTAATAAGCGAAAACCGATTTGATTCCCTACGCTCATCTTTGCCTGTGATTTTATCTGATTTACCTCCATCTATTTTCATATAGCTTTGGTATTCTTCATACTTACACCCATTATCAACAAAGCGAGCAGATCTTTCATACTGAAGTACTTGGCCACTTGAGATATTCCCGAATAGATTGCTTGCTAATGGAAAACCATCTGTAGAATAAGAGAAGAAAATTAAGAAAACAATAGAAAATCCTTTTCCAATAAGTAGCTCAAGAAAAATTACTTAAGTAGTAATGACGTTTTGCATTCAAACAAGACCAAAAGGCTTTCATTCTGTAATATGTAGTTACAGGCTGATGGCCAATACCTCCATGTATACTGATAAAGTCATCATCCGAGTGAGACTCCAGAATACTCACTGAGTCAAACCAAGCTTCCTCTTGGAAAATTACTGCAAATGAATAACTTTCAAAATATGAGATTCAAGAGCTATAAATTTTCTTGTCAGCACTATTGGTTGAAATTGAAAGAGAGTTGAAATCTGATGAAAGAAATCACACACCATTCAAATCATATTGACTGTGGTGCCATTGTTGCTGGGTAAGATGGAATGTTGAATAAGAAACCTTAGTTCTTCTGTGAGTAGTTGTTGCACCATTCTCAAAGTCCACATGAACAAACTCACTGACAGCATAGTCACTCATGCGAGCTCCTGCATCACTATTTATTTTCTTGAAACTGGTATTTCTTTTCTTGGTACCATCTGAAGCGGAGCAGGTTGCCTTTCTATGGCGTTTGATGACCCGCTGACAGTGTTTTTTCCGTGATTTAATTGTTTTGGATGGGGTTGACATGCAACCAGCCATTGTAGCTTTTAAATCATGCAAGTCCCAACAACAACGATGCCTTCATCAAGTCCTCTCCAACCTGTGTGCCTACAAATGATTCAAACTACATCAGAGAAGATTAAAGGATTTCTGGAAAGTAGTTTCTATGATCACAAATAATCATGAGAACGCAATCAATTCTTTCATCATGAGACTGATTCAGTAATTTATGGCTCAAACGCTAGGCCAGTTAACCAACTTAACACTTGGAAATTATTAGAATCAAACGGATGACACACAGAGGTCTCTATGTTTAATGAGTATGGTGGCACTATCAGAAAGCACCTTGGTTAGAAGCGACTAGTAACTTGAAGCACTACACTAGTTATTCAATCAATTTGTAGATGAAAATTTGTGCAATCATCATAAAAATCAAATGTCTGATTCAAACCTTCTCAAACAAAGTGGGATGTCTCTTTCCCAATCCCATAGACAAGCCACTTATCTATCTTAAGCCCCAAATATTTAGTTCTGGCTCACTAGAACATAAACATGACTAGAAAACAAAAAGATAGTACATCCACCTCAAGAACAACTCAACAAAACCTTAGTCCCTATTATCTATCTTAAGCCCCAAATCTTTAGTTCTTACTCAGGTTTAATTAATTAGTACCTTTCTCTTAAGTAGTTGGTATTTGCAAAGTAAATGGGAGCATCAATCTCAAGTATGAGAATTCCAGGAACATTGCTTGCATTGGGATACTGCTCAAGAACAGTTTCCTTGAACCAAAGTCCTTGGCCTTGCCACAAACAAAAGTACCCTGATCACAGATATTGCAACCTACACAGAAGAAAAAAGAAATATTAGTTCTAATGCGTAGTTTTAAGTTGTTAGATATAGTGTTATTGTCAGACACAATAATGATACGTACCGCTAAGACTAGTTCAATTTCAACGCTGCCAAAAACAACGCCGATATAGGCACTCATGCAGACAACAAAGTCAAACTTGTCAACCTTCCAGAGGTGAATTGCGGCTTCATAGTCTATGACAACAAGCAAAGCCCGACTATGTGTTTCTTTGTCTGTATATTCCCCAAGTCTGATTCAGTCAGGATTTCCAACTACTCATCCAACTTAGGCCAAACCAGATTCCTAACAATTAAATACTACTTTTACAAGCTAAAATCTCTATTGATCCCTCTAGTAATAACTTTTCGACCACATCTTTCTCTTTTCAGGATGCAAAACACATAATCAAAAGCCAATTTCGTATAGCGGCCATCAGAAATTGAAGCGAGTTCATAATTTAGATAAAGTCGGGAAAAAAAAGAGAGGACCCGCCTAGGCGGCGCCTAGCGCCCAGGCCGATTTTTCCAACAGCCTAACTGAACAAAAGCACAATTTATAGGTTTTGAGCTCTAATTATGAACATCATTACCAAATTTAACATTACAGAACAAAATCCACCACCTGTTCTAGATTTATGTGCATCATAGATTTTCCAAAATAAGCAAAATATAAAGATAATTTAGTTAAAACTACAAGTGATCTGAATGCATTCCACTAAAAAGCAGGAAGCAGAGTAATTGGAGACTAAGCTTAGTGAAAAGAAAAACCTTGGGTTGAACAAACTATCCCACCAGTCAGAGTCTGCGGCTTTAGGCTCGACTGGAACCAAGCTTAAGTTTTTCGTCAATTTCCTATCTTTCTTGCTTTTCTTTGATTTCTTGAGAGACACCGTGAGAGCTCAATTGAGGAATTGCCCACCACTTTTTTGGCCTTGAACTTGAAGACTCTGATGGAAGTGATTCAGTGAAGCGAGCCAAGCAGGGGGGGAAATGTAAAAGCTCGTATAGCCATTTTATATATTATAGCCGAACGGCTATACTGGTCAAATAATATTTAAATAGTATAGCCCTGGCATCTTTTTTTTTTCTTTTTCCCCTCACAACAGCACTTGAGAAGCATGTTCTTGCAGACGCCATATCTCATAAACTAGACACAGAAGAATCAGAGGTAATCTCCATGTCTGTTTATACATTCCCCCTCTTTTCTTTTTTTCTATCTAGAACTTAAAGCTTTACTCCATTTATTTCCTTATCAATAATGGGTATACTCAATTTTTCCCTAATTATTTTTTAAAAAATAGTATGGCGATCGGCTGTACTCATTTTTTCTAATTGTCACCTGGCGCATAGGCGCTGGGAGGGTCTTTTATATATACTAGAATTTTTTGAAATTTTTTAGGAAAGAGTAAAGAGTATAGCCATGCGGCTATACTCGTTTTGCCTATTTTTTTAAAAAATAGTATAGCCGCCCGGCTTTACCTTTTTGACACGTGGCACCTAGGCGCTGGGCTTGTCCTTTTTTTAATATATAAATAGTATTGCCGAGTGGCGATACTTTTTAAAAAGAATATTTAATCCGGGAAATTTCACCGACATAGACCTGTGCCGACAAACTTTCATCGGGAGAGGTTTTTTTAAAAATTTTAAAAATATAAAATTAGTTTCTATTTATTAAATCTGCATTATGGAGGCAGAAAATGTACCTACTACCGCGATTACCCGTATACTGCCTTTGGTAAGTAGCTTTGGTTTCTAGTCAGAGTTTTCTTTCCTTAGTGAACTTATTCGCATGAAAAGAAAAGAAAAGAGAAAAAAATTATGAAAACTGATAATTATAGTTGTCTGCTAAACACTGTAGCTACATTGAACGGAATTAAGATAGATGGTGGTAAGGCAAAGGAGTATGCATGGCTTGCTGAGACAGAACCAGATGATCTCTATATGCGCCCGGGAAATTACACAGGCCCTACTATTCAAATTTAAGACTCAGCAGTCATCAGTGACGATTACTAAATGAGCCCTATGCCTCTTTGTGTTTGCTCCAGCTTTAGACCTTAGAGAGAAAACATTCCATTGTGGTTGACTGCATTAGCCTAAGCAGAGAGGTAACTAAGGCGCTCAAGCCTGCAGCAAAACTAGTTTATCATAAAGAGAATTGAAAGAAAAATGGAGCTTGTCGCTGGGTGATGATATCAAGTTTATAATCAAGTTAACTGCACCAAAAAGGATCACAACCACAATGAAGAGATATGCATTGTGGACTGCACCTAGAATAAAACCACCAGCTATGAACCCCATCACGAAAAGTAGAATCAAAGACCATAATATTAGCTTTGGGAAACTCTTCTTAAACGAAAACTCGTCATCTTGGCTAAGAGTAGTAATGGCCTGGTTGTGAACAATGGACGAATCTTGTACTTTCATTGATCCCATAGACTCTAAAGGACCAGATACTTTTGGATATAGCTATACTCGTTAAATATATAAGAATATTTAAAGAGTATAGCCGCTCGGCCATACTCTTTAAATATAGTCCAATATTTTAATAATATAGCCGCATGGCTATACTCTTTAAATATATTAGAATATTATAAAAAGTATAGTCGTTCGGCTATCCGCTTTAAGTAAATTCGAATATTTTAATAGTATAGCCGCTCGGCTATACTCTGTAATATATTCTAATATTTTAAAAGGATAGCCGTTCGGCTATAACCCTATTAGAATATTTTACTAGTATAGCCGCGCGGCTATACGCTTTAATATTATTTTTATTTAATTTTTATATTTTCATCTATTTACCAAAATAGTCGCCTTCTCGCTTGGGGAATATTTCCGATATTAGGAAAAGAAGCTTCAAAGCACAAGATTCTACTGCATATGAACCTCATCAACTGCGCTACTCTCAGTGGGCTATGAGTCTCATCGTCAAACTGGGCTTTCCTCAACCTGCTCATTCTCTGGCTCTGCCCACATCAACTTCCAAAAACAAAGTAAGCAACACCATCTTTCTCTCTCTCTCCGTTTGTGTTGTTTCTCTTCTGTGCTTTTTTTGGTCTCTTTTGTCTTTGTCAACTTCATGTTCGTTAATCATATAGTAATAAAAATTATCAAATTTATCTATCGCAGACTCAAAATTCAACTTTAACTCTATCATCTCCAACAACCCAGAAACCAAATGGAACATATGGAAGCAAATTTCCCAGTTCAATTGGTATTAATGAAACTCAGCCAAAGTCTCAAATTCAACCCTTAATTGACATCCTACATGGTTGTGAGGACATGGGGTCTGTAAAACAAGCAAAGGCTGTTCATGGGTTTGTGTTAAAATCTGAGCTTTCGGACCGAAACTTGCTGGTAGTTTTAAATCATCTAGCTCATGCCTATTCGAAATGCTCGGATTTTGGCACAGCTCGTCGATTGTTTGATGAAATGTCATGTAGGAACATATTCTCTTGGACAGTTATGATTGTTGGGTCGACTGAAAGCGGCTTCTTTCTCGATGGATTTAAGTTCTTTTCCGAGATGGTGAACAGTGGAATTTTACCAGACAAGTTCGCATATTCCGCAATTGTGCAGACATGCATTGGTTTAGATTGTATTGTACTGGGCAAAATGGTGCATGCCCAGGTTTTTGTAAGAGGCTTTGCATCTGATACTTTTGTAAGTACATCTCTCCTTAACATGTATGCAAAATTCGGAAAGATTGAGGATTCATGTAAGATGTTTAATACTATGACAGAACATAATAAAGTCTCCTGGAATGCAATGATTTCAGGGTTGACATCAAATGGTCTTCATTTTGAAGCATTTGATCATTTTCTAAGAATGACGAAAGAAGGAATTACACCAAATATGTATACACTCATCAGTGTCTCAAAAGCAGTCGGGAAGTTAGGTGATGTTAACAAGAGCAAAGTGGTTCACAGTTATGCCTCTGAATTGGGAATGGAGTCTAGTGTTCTAGTGGGAACCGCTCTCATTGATATGTACTCCAAATGCAAGTCTTTGTCTGATGCAAGATCTGTTTTTGACTTGAATTTCACCAGCTGTGGAGTCAATCCACCATGGAATGCAATGATTTCTGGCTATTCACAATGTGGTCACAGCCAAAAATCGATGGAGCTCTTTGTGAAAATGTGCCTGAAAAATATACAACCAGACATTTACACTTACTGCAGTGTGTTCAATGCAATAGCAGAGTTAAAGTGTTTGCAATTTGGAAAGCAAATTCACGGGATGGTTTTAAAGTCAGGGATAGAAATGAAGGTTACAAGCGTCTCCAATGCAATTGCTGATGCATATGCCAAATGTGGGTTGCTGGAAGACGTACAGAAGGTCTTTGACAGGATAGAAGAGAGAGATTTAGTGTCTTGGACAACACTGGTGACTGCTTATTCTCAAGGTTCTGAATGGGAGGATGCACTGACAATCTTCTCAAAATTGAGGGAAGAAGGCTTTATGCCGAATCAGTTTACCTTTTCTAGTGTGCTTGTTGCATGTGCCAGCCTTTGTTTACTTGAGTATGGTCAACAAGTCCATGGCCTCCTTTGCAAGGCTGGCTTGGACACTGAAAAGTGTATAGAAAGTGCCCTAATCGATATGTATGCCAAATGTGGTAATATAGCTGAGGCACAAGAGGTCTTTGAGAGGATTTCTGAGCCAGATACAATTTCGTGGACTGCTATTATATCAGGATATGCTCAACATGGGCTTGTGGAGGATGCCCTTGAACTCTTTAAGAGAATGGAGCAGATGGGTGTGAAGGCCAATGATGTTACCTTATTGTGTGTTCTGTTTGCATGCAGCCACCGTGGTATGGTAGAAGAAGGTCTCTATCATTTTCATGTAATGGAAAAATTGTACGGTGTGGTGCCAAAGATGGAACATTATGCTTGTATTGTTGATCTCTTAGG